TTAAAGAGCTAAAAAAAAAAATAAAAATAAATAAATAAATAAATATAAATAACTAAATTATAAATAATATTATCTTGTTTCTTTATTAATTTTAAAATTCTTTTTAATTAATAAAGTAGATTTCTTTATTCTTTTAATAATTATTCTGCAATAGCCAATTCAACAACACCATCACCAATGATTAAATAATCTATAGAAGCATCGGGAGGTTGAGATGGACTAAAACTCAAACCAGAATAATAATTAAACTTAGTAGATAAGGAAGAATACAATAAAATACAAATATTTTTTAAAAAGAGACAAGATATTGGATATGAGAAAAGCCATATTTTAAATAACAATGCATTTGAACATAAGAAAATTATCGTTTTTTTTTTTGAACAAGATACTTTTTAAATGCTTGCAACAAAGGTCTAGTGAAAAATAAAGTTTAAGTAGTAGAAATATTTCAATTTACATATTAAGATAAATAAGGTATCGAATGCATGGTTTATTGTCAAAAAATTTTTTTAGTTAGTAGAAATGTTATTATTCTGTTAACAAGCACAACAAAAAATTAATGGTCTTCTTAATTATTAATAAAATATTAAAATAGCAACAATATGCGTATTCTTTTTTTTTTTTTTTTGTTTTTTTTTGTGCAATGCGCTAAATTAAACTTTGCTAGTTAATTTCTAATTATAAAAAAAAAAATAGGGTCAACTGACAATTTCAAAATATAATATATATATATATATTGTATAACACTTTTAAGTGTTGATTTGCAGGTTTCATGATTTTCAAAACTCGAGTAATTTCTAAATAGTTTACAGTATTAGTAATATAAGTCTGGATATCTCGATTCATAAAGTACTAAAATATTACTCGTCGATCGTTTTTATTGGAGAACTTAAAACCAGAGACTCAGTACACAGACCCCGCCCCTAGGCAGATTTGTATGATAAACTCATACACGACATATAAACGCATGCTAAAAAAGTTGAATATGCGCGTACATCTCATACGAAACAACGAATATATTACAAATTGACAGAAGAAACAAATAAAAAAATCCAGGATTAAACAATTTCAAGCGATAAACTAAACCAAATTAAACATTGTGCATGTATTTTTCCGACCTTATTTATTTAATAGTATATATTGTCTATCGTCGTCGACATACATACAAAGTATTGCTCTTGAAAAATGTTGATACAATCACGATCTCCACAAACTTTTATAATGATCGCAAGCCGAAGACACGTACTATAAATACAAATTAAGTATTAAACAGGTTTTTTCAAGATTCACGGAAACACAAGCATATTTTTGTATTTGCATTTGCATCATGTCATTGTTCTTCCTGTACAAAGCAACATTTTCTTATTGTCTGATTTCAGGATTGGTACAAACCAACAATTTATAGTGTTATATATATGGAAAATTCATATATGTAAATTACTGGCCAGAAAAAAGAAAAAAAAATGCGATAATAATTTCCCAAAGAATGATTGTAAGTTTAAAATGCTATAGACCCTCCTTCCATAATTGTAAAATATCACGCCATTTATAAACTAATAAGTATATTTGTTAAGTCTTAGTTAAATTATGAAAACTTGTAAATAAAATTAAGATAAAGAAATAACCATTTATTTACACATGCTCATATATAAAAAAGATATAATTTAGGGAAAGAAGGTAATCTTATCTGTTGTACAAAGAAAAAGAAGTCATTTCTTAAACATATAATATATAGAAGAAAAATTTAGTAATAAGAATATATAAACCAGAAAGAAGCAATTAACAAAGTTTGTCTTTTCTGATAATTGACATATAAAAAAGCGACAGAGGAGGGGGCCAGTTCGTAGACAAGAAAAACATGGTTTTTATATAAATGTCATTGAAAATTTCGGACAAATAGTATCCATAAAATGCCCCCATCCAATAATTCGCTCTAAAATTGAATACTGTATAATAACTACTAAGGACTTATAACAACAGTCCAATATTATATATATAGCACGAAAGAATGTACTAAATTGAAATATTATTCCCAGCACGACTAACATAAGAAAAGCGATAATGAATAATAATAAAACAAAAAAAGAAAATGTATATGAACTAATACGTCTGAAAGATCATTGATACATGCATCTATCATAGCTTATTTTCCCAGAAAAAAAGAAATTAACAGCCACATCCGGAAGGATTATTATTTCTATTTGGTCCATTATTCACACCTGTCGTTCCACCCATCCCCGGGTTGATACTATTACTTGTTTGACGTGGGCGGCTAATAATATGTTCAAGAGGAATCTTCTTGGCTATAAAATAAAATTTAGTTGATATCAATTATTACAAAAGTCAATTGTATACGTTAATTATATAGTATATAGTTAAAAATCATTGCATACCAATTTCTACGAAAATGTCCCGCACACCATCACCATTTTTTGCACTAGTCTCAAAAAATAGCAAACCAGTTTCAAGGGCGTAAGCTTTAGCCTCCTCAGTAGAAACTTGTCTCCCACTTTCTCTCACACTACTTTCTCTCCCACTTTCCGCAGGGTCTTCTTCACTCTCCTCAGCAGAATGAACGAGATCTATTTTGTTGCCTGCAAGTGCAATAACAATGTTCGGATTTGCCTGGCGCTGCAATTCTTTCACCCAAGACTTAACTTTGTCAAGCGAAGCCTAATATATTATGGTCAAAAAATTACGTTAAATATGTATCGGTTAATCATACTAGTTAACTAAAGTTCATTTTGTAACAATTAGGACTTACGCTCTTTGTTACATCGTAAACGACTACAGCTGCCTGAGCGTTTCGATAATACATTGGAGCCAGAGAATGAAATCTTTCCTGTCCAGCGGTATCCCAGATTTCGAATTTAATTACTTTATCTTCTAAACGACACTTCTGCGTTAAGAAAGCGCCTGTGTTTTTGAGGGAGAAAAAGACCACGTGAATTAAAAAAGAAATAACGACAAATAAATAATAAATTGTAAAGTGACTAAGCTATATATTTGGGATCAGTCCAGAATTTCTTACCACCAATAGTTGGTTCTTTATTTTCTTGGAATTCATTATTGACAAACCTAAGCACCAAACTAGATTTACCAACAGCAGCTTCACCTGTTAGTAAGAAAAGTTGTGTGTTAATGCTAGAATAATTTCTTTCCAACAGAAATAAGTAAAGTGTAGTGATGACTTTTGGGAGAAAGAAAGGACAACTAATTTGTTTAAATTACTTGAGTTTAGGCACTTCCGATGGTGTAAACTTACCAAGAAGCACTAGCTTTACATTAACAGGTTTTAAATTTGGTTTATCGCCATTACCGCGGGCTGGTGTTGTTTCAGAAGCAGATTGACGTGGATTTGACATTTGTTATATACTTCTGTTTTGCCCTGGGTTATGACTTGTTTGTTAAATCAAAGGCACTGAGTAGTCTGCCGAGGAGAGAAGAGAAAAAAAAAAAAAATAGTATAAGCGGTATCAGGTATGGTATACTGTGATACTGATAAATGATTACTATACAATAGCAAAATCCTCAAGGTACTACATAGAGCGCCCAAGGGGTCATGTAAAAAATAAAATAGTCCGGCCTGATGCTATATATTTATTCCAGTATTCTGGATGCTTTCGTACAATGAACCTCGGAAATTTTACATTCTGATTGACTAAATGAGACCAAAGCGATTTCCATAGTAAAAAATTCTGCATTTTTTATTCAGGGTCCTGAGTATTCCGGTACTTTGAAAATCGCCGATGACCGTATACTGTAAAAAGCGATAAGGCAGATAAGACAACATTACGTAACGTTAAATCAGTTGCGTTTATCTTGGAACGTGATAATTTAAACCCGGAATTACCCGGTTGAGCAAGTATTGTTAGACGCGAGTCTAGACTAACATTATTTCGCGCAATAATTCTGAAAATATATATATGTATTTTTAAACCCGGCTGAAGCCAGCACACGGTTGAAAAAAAAAAACTATCATATTTTGCGATCAATTGTTTGTTTAAACGTGACGAGAACATGTTAACGGTCAGAATGTCATATTTTTCGTGAAGTGGACATTGTGTGTATACAAAACGATAAATTAGCTTTGGAAAGAGAGATTAGAAATACCAATGACTTTGAATTTTGAAGAACACCTGTTATAATAACAAAAGGTCCAATTGCGGATCTACAAACCTAACATGTGTCCGTGTTCAATAAAAAGTTACAAACACAGGTTGGCCTATGACTACCAACATTTTCGTAAGGGTACTGCACGGCACAGACATTAGTACCTGGCACGATACCGGCACGAGAAACATGCAAATCCCTAGTACATAAATATACGTGAATTAATCAGTTGCCGAAAGTATCGTTGGTTTGGTTTTTTTCTTAAGAATAATTGTTTGATATTTTTATAATTTAGAAATTCTTAACATGCCTTTTTTTTTCTACATAGATTATCGTATCAAAAACTAAGGCAAAATATTTCATTTATGATCATGGAACTTCTCTATATTCAGACTCTCCAACTTTTATTATGCGAACTTTTTTTTAGCTCGCCAAATAAGGGCAAGACTCTCGTCATTATTGTCTCGCCAAGCTCTCCAATTTGCTCGCCAGCTTGCTAACCACCCTATTGATAACTGATACTTTCTTTACTGGATAAAAGGTATTCAGAAATATCTTCTAATGTTATTTATAATTGTTTAGGAAACTATCCTTAGTCACACATAATACTATGATTTAAAAGAATTACTTGTTTATACAACATTAGACATATATATGACAAACCATTTTCGATTCTAGACGTTGACACTGGTTCTGACTGTATCCTATTTCGTTGCTACATTCCATTACCACCATTCCACAACCACCACCACTAAGACATCTTCAATTTTTAGATTGGGATTGGTGTTTTTGAGTCTTTAGAGTTGTCATTTCGACTAGATTAAATTCGAGAGGACACATCAGTAATTTTGGAAATAGCATCAGTAGTCTTGGAAATAGGCAACAAGATGGCGGAGAATGTTGGCCTTCTAATAGATGGGATTAATAAGAAAGAGCCTTGTAAGATGTTCCGTCAACGTACCGGTAAGTATCATGAAAATTTGATGTTATATTAATATTCAGAGCTGGAACAAACTTGGATATACGGTATTTATAACCATTAAATGCATTTAGCATAAAATATTTATTTTCATCAAAATCATAGCTTTTACTTTAGGAATGGATGAAAAATTATTATTGTTTAAAAATCTGATGTTTTGAGTCATGGTTTTTTTTTTTTTAATGTTTCCCAATTGCCACTAAAATTAATAAATTATTTTAGTCAGGCCAATTGATGTGTGTGTGAAAGATGCCTTGAATCGACATCAATCGTCGAATCAAAAGTTCCAATTAGACTCAATTGATTCATATTCTCGATATCCTCGAATTGTTGAATCTTACCATGTGCACTTGAAGCTTTGAGTTTGCCGTGTATTTTCATGCGTCGGCTACCACGCATTGTATCCGAAAACTCTCACAAAATGCGAAGTTTGCTTGTCCAATCATGTTTACACTGCATATTTCTGGTGTACAAAAAAAAAAGTGACCCTTCTAAAAATCAACAATGCACAAAGCTGCGGGATTTTTTTTTTTTGAAAATCAGCATTTTATCAATGAAAGATCATGACAATCATACAGTTCAAACGTCATCAAAAATCAGGTTTTGTGTAGTACACCAACCCCAAAAGAAAAACAAATTTTAACGAACGGTTGGGAAAAAAAAAATCCCACCCTTTCTTTCCGTTCCTCATTCATTACAAACACGCCGTACCCCACCCTTTCACTTATAATAAAATATAAAAAAAAAAAAAATAAAAAAATAAAAAAAAAAAAAAAAAATCCTCGTTCTTTCACCTTTTTTATTTTGTTTTTTTTTGCGCTTACATCGGAACGCTCTCTTGTTCCTAATTCGGGTTTATCCTTGATAAACTTTAGAAATAAAGTAATATTAGTAATATTAAGTAAATTTCTGCCAACTTTTCCTTACTCTTTCCTGTTTGCCTCACCTGGTAAGAAGTTTTTAATTACATGTTTCCATGTTAGGAAAATATTAGAAGAATATTATACAACAAATCAAAATAAATAATTTTTAAAGAACAGTTGGTAATAGTGAAAATCAGATATTGTATAAATCAAAAATGTAATATATCATGAATTTTCCTCCAACGACAGTTCTACCAACGAATTTGATTTTGACAGAACCGCCCCTTTGTCTTCGAAATGGCAAATGATCCTCTCGCCAATCACGGAGGTCTTTTAGACCAAACCGAAGTGAACGGCATTACCACCGCGCCCGCAGTAACCGCTGTCACTCCTGCCACAAGTAACGGCACTAACTCCACCTCATCCACAGCTGTTACGTCCGTCGCTCCTACAACAAATACACATTCGCTTTTTGACAAGCCTTTAATTCAACTCAATGATCAAGCAGGTTCACCGGAGAATAAAAGTACTGAAGGTGAAACTAAAGAAGAGGCTGGTGAAGAAGAGACTGAAGATATTTCAAGTTCTCAACTTACCATTAGAGCTCTTGTTTCTACCAAAGAAGCTGGAGTTATCATTGGAAAAGCCGGTAAAAATGTTGCCGAGCTTAGAGAAACAACCGGTGTCAAGGCTGGTGTGTCTAAAGTTGTACAAGGCGTTCATGATAGAGTGTTATCTGTAGCAGGTACTTTAGATGGTGTCGCAAAGGTAAGAGCTTGATTTAATGATTTCGAGTAAATCTTTATGTAAAAAAAAAAGAGTCGCTCAAAAGGTTACGTTCATGTTGTAATTACATTAGCCTTTTTATTGTATAAATATATTTTTTTTCAGAATCTCATGATGGCTTTATTGTGTTAAAGATATTATTGAATAAATGTACATTATAACTACGTTATGTGATTTGCTTTTTAGATTATTAGGGTCATAAGAATTATTGTCATTTTTTTAAGGACTATTCATATTATATTCGTTTTTTTTTATCTATGTATTTCTCATTGATTTCTTTTATTTTATTTTTTTTTAATAGGCATATTCCCTAATCGCCCAAACTCTCCTTGAAAACCCTGTGAATGCTAGTCCAACCTCTACTCCAATTACTCCTCCTCCAAATGCTTTTACTTCTGTCCGTTTACTTATCTCTCATAATCTAATGGGAACGATCATTGGCCGACAAGGGCTAAAGATCAAACATATCCAGGATGTTTCTGGCGCCAGGATGGTTGCTTCAAAGGAAATGCTTCCCCAAAGCACGGAGAGAGTTGTCGAAGTTCAAGGGACTGTTGAAGCAATTCGTGTCGCAGTCTGGGAAATCGGCAAATGTCTAATTGAAGATAATGAACGAGGTATCGGAACTGTTCTTTATAATCCAGCTATTAGGGTCACTTCAAGCTACTTAACCTCCCGACGCAGTGAATATACTGTTCGAACTGGAAGTGGAACTGATTTTACTCGCCCTTCTCGCAACGGTAGCAGCGAATATCATCGTCGATCCGGCAATAATAATAATAATAATAATAATAATAATAATTATGATAGTTCCAGCATTCGAACCCAAAATATTTCCATCCCTGCTGATATGGTTGGTTGTATCATTGGTAAAGGTGGTTCAAAAATTTCGGAAATTCGTAGACTCTCTGGTTCTCGTATTAGCATTGCCAAGACTCCTCATGATGAAACCGGTGAACGCATGTTCACTATCCAAGGTACTCCCGAAGCCAACGAGAAGGCCCTCTTTTTGTTGTACAACCAGCTAGAGAACGAAAAAGAACGTCGTTTGAATGCGACTGCAAATGGTGACTCCGATTCTTAAATATTCGTACTTTTTTTTGTAACACTACTCCGATCATACACGTCCTACTGTGTAAGTTCTCCGCTACCATATGATAATACCTCTTATCGTGAAATCATTATCCCAGGAAAAAACAAACCAAAGCCGCCGCACTATACTAGTGGTTGGACCCGTCTGAAAAATCATGACCCGGGTAACCTGGCGGGTAAACCCGCGGGTCACCCGGGTGGATAAATGATAAAAT